CTCAGTGTGTAAACACCCACGCCACATCCACCGGGAATGAATCACGTATTGCGACAACCACAACCAGGCACACGTCGTACCTGCCTGACAGGATCTCTGAACCCCTTAAACAATGCACGCGCGCTTCATATCTTGGAGTCCAGCATACACCATGGCGTTAATGACCAAAGGTAGATGAACACGAAATGAACAACGCAAACAGATCGCGGTGGTAACAAGTGCCAGCCAGCCACACACCCACCAACGCCACCATTGAAAACACTATCAAACGAGCCCAGCAATCAAAGGAATGTAATTGCAGAGTTCTGTACATAACCTCTCTTTATTCATATAATACCAATTCTGTTTGCCACATCCAACGCGTCCACGTCGGGCGGCAATTTCACGTTCGACTACTTTACATTCTTTGGGCCATTGTGTGTGCTCGCCTTGGCCACCTTTATTTTGTACATCTCCTCAACAGCCGCCTTGATGGCCGACTTGTTCGACCTCCGGTCGACAACGAAGACCACAGTGTCATTGTCCTCCATCTTCTTCATGGCTGCCTCTTTTGTGACAGGGTGGCGAACTATGCAGAAGTCGTCCAACCTGAAGACGTGCATTAGACAAAAAAACTATCCTACTTGTTTCTCTTTGGTGTTTCGAAACGGCAATCCCTGGGCCAACGGACAGGCTTGTAGGTCTTCAGACGTCAGAATCGAATATTCTTCATGACCTTCTTCTTGCCCTTTGTATGACATCCCATAGTGATAGTCTTCTGGGCTCTGAAAGCCCTTTAAGCAATCGCTTGCTCTAGGTGCATATATGCGCAAATAGCATAAGCCTACTCGACGCTGTCTTACACACACGCATTACCAGCACCTTTAGTCTGCCTTCTAAGGCCTGACGATGGTTTCGCATACTTATTCTGACACGCTCTTTTTGCAGGAGCGTTCGCTTCGCTGTGGGGCGCCATGTGGGATATTCAGCATGACCTTCTTCTTGCCATGTTGATGGCCTTCTGGGCCGCTTTCTCTATTTCCAGTCATGGTTATTAAGCACAGGCTTACCTAGTTAATTCCTTGCGTCTTTGCTTCCCTCGACGCCTTGAACATGTCTAAACTTGTCCAAGTCCTGCCATTTGTTGATTATTTGCTGAGCACAGCACGGGTGTTGAGTGCGTTGAGCTTGGAATACCCGGTAGAGATAGATTGTTTGGATGTGCTTAGGCGCGCACAGAACTGCTAATCGCGTATTAAGTCACCGAATTGCAGTCGAAAATCCACCTGGTTTTCTTCACAAACCGCATTCTAAATTGCTCTATTCCAGTTTCACTTCCAGCTGACGTGCCTTCACGCGCGCACACGCACACACACACACACATACAACACGGCATCACTTCTCAAACCACCTGTGCATAGCACCGAGCGAAGTATACTCCCGAAATCTGAGGGATGGAAGGCACTCTTTTGCCGAGTTGTCGTCGAATTGATGCTATTCAGCATGCTCCACCACAAAGTGTCCGACTTGAGACGAGGATTGGATCACCTAAAATGGGAAATTGACTCCACGATGTTAAGTTTGCTGATTGGTGCATACTGCGTAATGGAACTAAGATAATGCGCATTGCTAAGTGACTATTTGACCAAGTTGATTACACCGCAAGTAACATGCCTAATGCAGTTGACACAGGGCCTGACATTAACATCGATGAATCTCTTACTTGTTCTTATCATCTTGCGATGATAATGTGTTCGGTCTTGGAGGTGGACTCCTGTTCTCCACCAGTGGCGACGACTATGGACATTTCTTCCACCTCATGCGCAGCATCCTCGCCACCACCGACGGTACCAGCAGAATCATCGTCCTCACAAGCCTGTCGAACCTGGTTACGATTCGTCGAAGTGATTGACCTGTCGTCTCCCACTGATTCAGCTTCCGCGCATTCATCAACACAAACGTTATCATCTCGATCGCTTAGTTCACGCGACGATAGATCGTGAAAGTGATTATCGGCTTTTGAAATTGAAGTCATGGCCACTTTCATCATCCTTCACTTCTCTGAAGTCACGCAAATCATTGCAACGACTGCAGAATACGGGAAAGTAGGAATTGAAATAGACGACCTCATCAATGGGATCGTTATCAAGTACTCTTCTTCTTCTTCTTCGGCGGCAATAGCAGAATTAGCAGGGCTATTTTGAAGCATGCCACAGCATGTTAGGGATGTGGCCATTGTCAGTTTCGTAGTTAATCGCTGTCAGTGCTGGCCCAGTACTCACTGGTGTCTGCTGCTTTCTCATCAACGGCGCCTTCACGTTCCGTCTAGACTGATCGTGGATCAACTTCAATCACGTCGTGATCGTCAAAAGCGATCCCATTGGGCAGCAGCTACAAATGATCTCCTGTCAGGAAACCTGTCAGAGTGCTGCGGCACAAGGAGACGCTTTTCTGCCACAGACATTGCCACGTTGATTTGCGGGGCGTCAACACCGCCACACTCAAAGCCATCGCGGGAATGAATGGCGATCCTATTTCTGAAGACGGTAAACACGAGTCTAACCTTTCCGTTGTTGTTCAGGATGACCATTACGATAGCGGTGAAGACAAAAATGAGGAAAACGACAACCAGTCCAATTCCGAAGCCGAAGATGAAATGGACTACAACGTCAAGATGGCGATTCAGCGTCACCGCGCTACACATTGCTTTTTCCCACATGGCGCCTAAGGGCGAGGCGATGCGAAGGCTCCTGCAAAAACAGCGTGTCCGGAAGAGGTTATGAAACCAGCATCTGGTTTTAGAAGGCAGACAAAAGCGGCTGGAGATGCGAGTGCAAGGATGTTGCATGGCGTCGAGGATGGCAGCAAAGTTGCGAGGAATTCGTCAGGCAGGCCTGTGCTTAATAGTCGTGTCTGCAACTTGAGAAGGCGATTGTACAAAGGGCTTTGAGAGCCCACAAGGCTATCACCATTGGGTCTCACACGAATGGCAAAATGTAGATCATGAAGAGCATTAGATTCCGACGTCCGAAGACGTATAAACCTCCCCACTGCCCTAAGGACCGTCGTTTCGTGATCCCAAAGAGAAACAAGGACTATAGTTTATTGTCTAATGCACGTCCTTAGGGTGGACGCATTCCGCATAATCCGCCAACCGATCACGACAGAAGCCGTGATGAAGAAGATCGAGGACAATGACACCTTGGTCTTCGTTGTTGACCGGAGGGCGAATAAGCCGGCAATCAAGGCGGCTGCTGAGGAGATGTACAGAACAAAAGTGGCCAAAGTGAATCGCTGTCTTTGTTATTGTGTGAATGGATTGGCAGGCGTCGAAAGCCAATGCCGGTGGTCGATGAAGTCGGGCTGAGGTAGCCGCGACACTTGGCGGTGGTGATGAGGCTGACACAAATCAGGCGTTCCGAGGAGATGCGCAGTGCGAAGGTTGTAGTCGGACGCGGTTGGTGGTGAAGCATCGCATGCCGAGAATGGAAAGAAGCAAGGAAGGCTTGAGTGTAGACACTTGCATTAGGGCGTGGAACAGGGAATCCACACGCCATGCCACGCCACGCCACGTCACCTATGTCGCACCGCAAGATCGTCAGTTGTCAGTTCCAGGAAGGTCGTTATTCGTGCGCACTCAACGTAGGGCTCACCAACCGCCGTTGAGGCCGGCAGCGAGGTTCTCAAACTGCACCGACGCCAACGAACCGCATCGCCAAACTGCACACCGACTTGGCATACTCATATCGTCGTGGCAAGGCGTGAGCTTATATAGCAGGCACGTTCGAATCGCTCTGTGAATGAACATCGCGACATGAAGTCCACTCCAAATGTTCGAGAGAACTGGTCTTCGCTCAAGCTTGGCAACAGGGCTTGCTGGCCCAGCACAGCACACTATTTGCCAACTGTTGAGATTGTGACTTGTCACAAAGTAGACATGTAGATAACGACAATTGTGGTTTCCTCAGTTGCCTAAATTTGCAGTCAAGTGTAATATTGCTGGCGTTGCGCTTGCCTGCCCCACACCTCGGTAGCAGCTTGCGTGGGTACCGTAATTTGTTGTAAATAATCGACGGACCGTGCTCTTGTCATTCTCCATGTGAATTATTTAACAAATCATTGCGCAACCACTGTCCAGTTAGACGTTGATTCGGATGTTGTGTTAATCCTCACCTAACCCCAATGGCGGAGAGATTTTGTGCTGACATAATACTTAAGAATGCTGCCAGCAATCTTTAGCGAACATTTCATTCCGGCCAGTTGACAAGGGACATCACTGAATGCAGTCGGGCAATCGCACAAGCTTTACTCCCTGCGCCTGACTGTGACACATTCGGTCACTACGCCTCCCTGTACTTGAATTCAACGAGTCTCTGCGTCGTGTCGAGTGACAGACTGTCCCAACGTTGGGCGCCACCTGCTTTTAACGGGCGTGTTCTCATCCCTCTTATCCGTGGTCAGTAATTAGTCGCTTTGGTTGGTAGTTTTAAATTGTGGAAAGAAAGAACAGATGTTACATTTGCCCAGGCATTCACGGCCGCAACAACACAAAGCCAGGCTCGCGTTTACCTTAAGACCGCTTTGCCACTAAGTCAGAACCTATTGGAGATGCTGAAATTCCCGTTCACAACAAAGTTGAAATAACTCGGGCCCCTGATGGCCCCCACTTTTTCAGCAAGTTTTGTCATTCTCAGGTGTTTGTGTACGCCTTTGCACGATTTTTTTGGCAGTTTTTCGAAGTCTAGTATGAATGAGCTCCTGTAATGCAAATTCGCCGTGACTTGGACGCAACACACCACCAAGCGATTACCAAGGGATTCAACAAAATTCGCCAACACAACACAAGTCAGGACATCCGGTCACCAACTGTTGTGAGTTCCAGCATGTGATCTTGAACCACGCTGTGCCCATTAAGTTAAAGAAGTAGAAGAAGAAGAAGAAGAAGAAAAAGAAAAAGACGGGAGAGGACATGGGCACAGGCATTCACTTCGGAGCTCAAACACGTTGGTGACCCCGTGTCCTGTGTGGCGTGTGTGTGTGTGAAAAATGGCATAGATGTGTGAGTCATAGAAGAGCTAACATCAAGACGTTGGTGTAAAGATAATCCAGGATAAATATGCGTGCGAACGAGGAAAGAATTAGGGATGCGCGCGGCCGAGAAGCGGGGCCCTGTGTCGGAGGCTGAGGTGATCGGATTAGCGAGTGTGAACCAACGCCATTCACAACGGAGGTAACCACGACGAAAATGCTTTTTTGATATTTCTGGACTGTAATTGAAAATCCTAAGTGAAAATTTACAGATTTAAATTAGAATTTCATTGCAATTACCATTGACAAGCTGATTTGTGCAGATGGCATACTGACGAAATCTTGCGTTGCCAAAAGACCAGAACCCTTCCACACACACAGGGTCTAAATCTATTGCAGAGTTTCTTGAACTAGTTTTCAGAGAGAAACAATAAGCACTCGGACGAAGTTTAGTGCATTTCTTGTTTAAAGGCGAACCAAAAACCTGAAGAAAACACGGGCGAACCGCACTTCTTCTGCGACAACGAAGCTAACAAGTGAAGCGTCTCATGTGTGACTACGTAGGACACTTTACGCGGGCACAACAGTCACAATTTACACTGCCTTCATTCAAATCTGACTTGACACGCTTCATAGTGTCAGACTTTAGGTTAAATTTACTTTTAAAGCTGATGGTTACTTATCTCTGGACGTCCACAATATCGTCGAATTATATAATAACTACTTATAGTTTTTAAGTAGCCTAGTTTGATTATGAGTGCAGTTACGTGAAGAAAGTGATCCTCCCTCCTGGACACGACCCTTTCAGTACTACCACTGGTGGGATTTTAACCGCCATCACAAAAATTTCCACCAGGGGCATTTATGGAACATTCAACAGAAAAGAGCTGACGACTCACACTGACGTGGTTATCCTTCCTGAATCACATATTCGGAATCTGCAGAACCGCTTCAACAAAGAAATAGGCTTAGCGTGATCGTGGTGAAGCAAGTGACCACTTTTTGTTTAAACTACATGGTTGCATTTTTCCAATTTCCAATTCACTGCGCACTCACCTAATTGGCTTCGGTTGACCTTGGTCATTCCATCGATTCAGCCCATCTCATCCATCGCTCACCTGCTTGTCTATTTTGGTACTAACAAGGCATCTGTACTACAATTAAACGCATGCAACACCTTCCTAAAAACGTCTGTGGGTGTGAGTTAACTGGCTTATGGGAAATGACCTTCAATTATATCTTGATTGGTTCAACAGTGATGGATAAACGCGAAAAATACCCACAATGCACCTCTGACAACCGCTTGTCTCTTCTACACTTGGGCGAGTGTAGAGGCTTTTGATTTAGTTGGTTCATTTTTCTAGTAAAATCTAGCCCTTTGAATGATCCGCTTGACAAGAGGAGCCAATCACGATCTCACAATTCGAAGCGTGCTACGGCGATGACCGTTGGACTTCTGATGTGCAAATTTAGCCCGAATTGTCCTCATCTGTTTGCGAGTGTTTAGAAGCTTAGCAGAGACAATGCGATGCTTGACAGTGACAGTGCATTGTGGCAAGCCGTGTCGACCCCAGCAACCATAAAGCAGACAGCACGCTCAAAGTGCCCGCTGACCAATGGAATGAGGCCAAGACGTGTGCGCTATCGATATGGACTTGTGTGTACGAACAAATGGCACAAGATGCCAGGAAGTGTGAACCACGTTGCAGTGCAGAGTTCTAGAAATTGCTGACCTTCCAAAATACTGCCAATTTACATAATCCATCTGTCTGCCGAAGGCAAGCGGTTTATCCCACGCAAACACACGACCTTTTCTGCCAGCCAAAGGCCCCATTTAGAAGTGTGCCGTTCTAGGTCACTTCGTCAGCACATGAGGTTGAACGTGGGATTCGATTCATCACTCCGTGATCCCTCTGGACACCTGACGGTCTGCCTAACTAACACCCCGCCAGGTTAAACGCTTAAATTGCACTGGTAGCACGTCTTCAGACAGCCCCCACGAGAACCCTGTTCTATTAATGCTAAATGACCCCATTCACAGCTCACAAATGCCACAGGTTTACTTTGCACATACGCAGCACCAAATCGCATTTCAAAACATTTATATATATGTACAGAAGAAGGAAGAGTATATTTACAAAATCCGCGAGATGGAAGACACCCTGTTGGCGATGTCTCGTTGGATTCAGATGATGCTGCATGCACCACCACAAAGGCTATGACTTGGCGGTGAGGTTTGAGCCATCTACAGCAGAAAAATGGAGTCGTAGAGTTGTGGATGGTCTAGTCAAATCGATCAAGCAGGAAGTTAGCTGACCCCTCACATTGGGCACTGCTAGGCTCTCTACACACGGGTCCACTTGTGGACATGATATTCCGAAATTGCCTTAGCGGGTGGAGCAATGTCGTCATTCGACCTGACCCCGCAGTACCACAACAAGCATTTAAACTGGACATTTTCGAGGTGTCCGTGCTTGGGGAATCGGACGGTCCAATGTCATTGGTCAGTCAATGGACCACGGTGCTCTGATTGGACGAGACTGCGAAATCTCGTTGCGAGCTGCCACATGCCAGGCGAGTGCGTCTGTTTGACACCCTCAAATCACGTGGCAAAACTAGTGCTAGTGCACCTTAACCACCAAGGCAAACGTTTCATTGTGCTGTTTTCCAGGTTCGGTGTTTGCAGCGTCGCTATTTTTGTATGCGCGAACAGCCAAACGGCAGTTGCAGGTTTGTGGTAGCCACAAGAGCCTGGTGAAACGTGAACGCGTGTGTGCTGGGGAAATATGACGCACATGTGCACCTTGCGTTTACAATTAGAGATCTTGGCGTTAGTGGTTTGTGCCTACAAACCCGTCTTAATCGGAACAACTTAGGCTCTTTATCTCTGTATAAAGGAAACCAGTAAATCTGCCAGGTCTACAAGCTTCACTTGAAATCTATTTTTTTTTTCAAATTTGCCTACCGCAAACCGCCTTGTAGCAGGGAGGGGAAATTTAAGAAGGCAATGATGGAAGAGTAGAGGGGTAAAGGGGAAGGAACAGGAGGGGAAGGGTGATGAGGAGGCGAAGGTGTGAAAACGACAGCATGGACATCAAATTAGGCAGCATTACCCACTGAACAACCTCAAGGAAGGCTTCCTTCACGCCGACTCCCGTTCTGGCTGAGGTCTCGATGAAGGCGCAGCAGCCCCATTTGCGTGCCATCGCCTCGCCCTGGCCGTGTGGCACCTCACGCAGACCCTCCTCCTCTAGGTCAATCTTATTCCCCACCAAAACAATCGGCGGTGGCCGAATGCACCCTGCGGTGTGCTGGTTGGATGGCGTGTGTTGGTGATCCCGGTGGTGGTGGTGGTGGTGGTGGGGGTGATGGCTGTTGGGTCCAGGGTAACGGCTGTCCGAGGCCTTCACCTTAATTATCTGGTCTCGGATGGCCTGGACGTCGTGGAGGCTCTGGAGGCAGGTTATGCTGTAGACGATCACGAAGCCCTGGCCGTTCTTGATGTACAGGTCCTGAAGCGATGCGAATTGCTCCGTCCCGGCTGTATCGAGGATTTCTAGCATGCATGGAACTCCACCGACTCTAAAAAAATTTTCCAAAAAGTGGACACAGTGACATTGACGTCCACTAAGTGGATACCATTCTAAGTCACCTCAGTTGCGTGATAAAAGATCACTTACAGCGTGTCAAGTTCAGATTCCGCGCAACGCATAGCGCTGACTCATCAGGAAATCGATTATTTTACTGATCTGACCCCAACTGCTGCAAACAGTCAAATTTTGTCACAGTCCAACGGTGATCAAATGACGCGGCAAATTCCATGGTTACCCCCAAGTAATCAACCAATCAACTGCGAGGACATCCCACTAAGGTCGCTTATTGGCTGAAATCCACTCAACTTTGTGCATGTTGTGACTCCTATATTAGCTCAACTTACCTGCCAGCTTATAAATTGTTGCACAGTCATGGCACTAACCCCTAAGTTGTGTGTGCGTGAAAGGATGAGTTCGACTGGGTGAACAGTGAGGCACTCGTGAAGGACAAAAGTGAGTCACAAATGGCGGTAGTTAGCGGCACAAGCCACGTGCCTACTCAAGTTCACGTGGGCTTTAACAAGGGTCTTGTTTGAATAGGCTTCAATAGGTCAAGCTTGATGAACGCGCGGTTTTCACACACACACACACAAGGGGACATAGCAGACGTGGCGAGAACCAGAGGCACCTGTAGAATCAGGTCATGGCATTTGCGTGCCTTGCAACGCTGGTTCCACTCTCAGAGTCTCATGCAAGTCGAAATTCGTCTTAGTTCTCCCCACCGATGAGGTAGCTGACTTGGCAGCAGACACTAACGTTGGTGCGGTTGCTGGTGCATGCACGCGTGTACTTTTGGGATACTTGCAGCCCAATTTGCGATGCTTCTAGTCGCCGCGAGACTGTGATTCCGGATGAAATAGCACGCCTTAAGGTTGCATAAAACGTGACAATAATGCATGGTGCCAAAATGTGTTACAATCCGTTGTAAATAAGCTTTATAAATCGCGTGGATACACTTGTGCCAGTCTGGCAACCGTAATGTTTACGTAAGTCGCATTCTAGAATGGTTAATTCGTTCGCCGACTCACGTGACTGACAGAGCCACACGTTGATAACCGCCTATCAACCAAGACTACAACCCAGAAAAAATTGCACCCCTCCAAATATTCGTGAACACACTTAAAACATTGTGTGTATGTGATGAACGATACAATAGTTAGGATGACCACATGGATAGTCTATCGGGATTACTTCCAAGACAGGTCAATCAGTTTGCCGATTCACACCAAGCGATTGCGAACTCACGGTGGAATCAGAAGTAGGCAGTCGCAGTATGTAAAAACGGGCAACTACATTGCGACACTATCGGTCAACTCGATGACATTATGGGTGGTCAATTTCCTCCTGGGTTATTCAACACGCCAAACGGAAATGGTCGAATTTGTTGTGGCTTGAGCTGAAACCCGACACGTCGATCAGGTGGGTTCGACGCCGCCACCACCACCACTGGCGCCAGTGTGGACCTCGAAAGTGACTCACGTCCAACGGTGAAACTGGACACCCCGATGTGGTGCTGAGCCTCTCCACGTCACAGGCACCAGCTAAGCACTGCCTGGGTGCGGTGAAGTGTTCTTCCATGCGTGCGATGCGTGAGATACACGCCGGGTTCGAGTTTAAACACGAAATCGACTGACAGTCGCCATATTGCCCTGGACGTCACAATGTGTGTGTACGTGCGTGCATGTGCGTTTTATGGATAAAGCGTTCGATGCGATCTAGCCGCCAGCGTAAGTGTTGGTGTCAAATATATACACGAACACGAAAGGACAAATCCGCGTTGCAGACTGTCGCAAGCTTTGATTGCTAACAAATTTCGGAGATTTCTGACATGTTCCAGTGTTTTTTTTCACAGAAATAAGTTAATCGAAGCAAGGAAGCTGAGGGTCGCAGATGACAGTAAGAAATGCACACCAAACATTTTTCTTAGTTAAAACCTCCACTCCACTCTACAACGAAGGAACTATGTAGAATTGTGACACCACAGCAACTGCGAACATAGCTTCTCTCAAGGTCAGATTCCTACCAATGACAAAAATCACAGGCGCACATTTCAAACCAAGCAGAAACCTGCTTTCGGCAAATCTTAGTCACATCAAACGTCAACAGATGTTCCTCACCCCCTACACCTGCTCTCATTACTGTTGTCTTTGTGACTCGCGCCAAGGTCCAATTCTCATTGGTCTAAACCTCATCAATGTTCATGCAGTCTCCTGATTGGTCGATCGTGTTAGGAACCATCATCGGCCACATTGTCGGATTGGTGTGGCGACCAGTAAGCAACACTGACGGTCATATTCATTATACAACGGAAAGTCTAGACTTTTAAGATGACGATGTTTGAAATTCGACTACTTATCAGGTTCCGAACCTTAGACAAGCTCTTCTCGGAAAGTGCAGGTCTTCAGAAACGTGAAAATAGCGACAATGTAACTGGTGGTACCTACAAACTGACATGGTTAACTCTGTGTATCGGTTGACTGAGCTACTTTTTGGATTTAAACGTGGTGCTTTTCTGTCCAAGGACTCTATACTCTCATCAAATTAACGCCAATTAGCATGAAAAACCCTGGGAGTATTCTTTCGCCTGGTAGCATCTCAGTCACACGGGAGTCTGAGAAACCATTAGACACTACATCGTTTGTCCATGTCATGTTTAGTACGTCGCTGATTCTCTCACATCGATGCCTGCATGTATCGACAAGAACAATCCTTAATTTGAGATGGTCGGCATGTGTGGAGTCATTAACCAACTTTCTGTAATGGGTTCCTGGTTTATTGAGCAATATTGTGCCCGTTGTACGGAACTTTTCTTGCTGAAGTTGTCATCCTACAAAGCCAAGCTGTCAACCAAACGAGCAAATCCAGCACCGGGCTGTGCAAAGCAAACAGAATGGACAACCCTTCGTGTTGCGATGCAGCGATTGCACCTAGACAGGGTGATGTTGTCCAGATCTCTGAAGTTGAAGATTATTTGCCCACTAGAGGTTATCTGGTTTCATGAAACTACTCACGCCTTCCAAGTTAACGTCAGATTCCAACGTTGGACCAAACATGACAGTTTATGGGCAATTAGTTGCCATGTTCACCGGAAGGAGGCTGACCCATTTCGTAACACCTACAAACATGCATTTCTTCAGGAATTGCTTGTCTGCCTGAAATATGCATTTCCACTAAGGACGGGAATCTACTAAGCAGTTGAATGCCAAAACATCCTCGTCTTCCAAGGTGTCTAGTCTTTCTGTCGTCGACTAAATGTGGGGGCAGACATCCTTGCTCTGTGTCGGTTGATCAGGGTTGTATGGGTACTACAATTTGACGGTACTTTAAAGAAAACATCGATCAGGCCTAACTATGTTGCGAGATCGTTAGTGTTCAAGTTGCGTTAAGATAGATGTGTTGCGATATCAGGAGCGAGACGCCAACAATGAGGTTGCAAGTTCAACTTCTCTGGAGTACCTGTGGAAATCAGATCTCATCCAGTCATCAGAACGCCGGTGTTGATTACTGCCCACAACGCCCACCCAACACAAAGGCTGGTATTGGTCATCACCACAGTCAACCAATCAGATGACCACGTGAACAATGACGTAATTTAGACCAATGAGGATCGGGCATCAGCGCGAGTCACAAGGACGATAGTAAGGAGAGCAGAAGGAAACGGTGCTGTGCGTTTTATGGACACACTTGCGTCCAGATGCAGGGCCCGCGGATGAGTTTGCTAACAATAGAATCATGCTCTGGAATGCTTACATCACAACACCGAAATATTACCTTTGAGGGTGTCCAACCATTGGCTAGCATAGCTGTCAGATTTGTTTGAGGTCGGATGCCACTAGGTGGAATGCAGGCAGTAACGACTGCAGTCCTGTAGAACTGCGCCAACACCTTGGACGTGCCTGAAGCCACCATTCAGTGGTGGTATTAGAATGTTTCCCACTACGTAAATGGTGACTGATTTAAACAAATGGATATGTTTTAGGTGGCAAACTAAAGCATGTAATTTATAGTTGACGTTGCCAACTGCCAACCAGTCAGGGATTTATCAAAATGCCTCGATTAATACACCTTTATCCAGTTTGCTGCTATGATCAAAGTTCCAAATTCGCTGTTCAAATGGGCTATTTTGTTTTACTTAATGCAACGCGTTGCTTGGTTCGAATCGACCCGCCTGTCGCCTAGGCAACCAACCAGTTGAGAGGTTGCCATGCCGATAAATCTTGCAGGATTTATGCAGTCTTCAGAGCAGGCCAACTCAGAATGTAGTCAGGTAGTTAGGCAGAGAAAATACCTTCATCCTCGAACAATACGCATTCACTAAAAGGTAGCTCGTTTTAAAGTGTATCCGCTGGCCCATTGTAAAGCGGCGTTCTGAAATTGCCACCGATACAGGGGAGGCCTCGCTTAAAAGACACACAAACCAAGTTCCAAATGACCAACTAGGTTGCAAGTTCGCGTTTAAACGCGTTGCTGCTTTGGTTAGAAGGAAGACCAACGAGTGAGCGACACGTGATCAGTGTGCAAATGTGTGTCTAGAATGTCACTGCAACACACGGAAACACAACTTTCGCGTTGATTGGCTTTTGATAAATTGTCGAAGTGTTAGCAAGTGCTGCTGCATGGCACTGTTGCTGATGGCTACCATGTGTGTGTGTGTGCGGGATTGGAAGCCATTTAGACAACCACGAACGATCCTCTCAATGACTAATGTGTCTCGACGAAATTTTACACGCTGAAGGTCTCCATTGTACATGAAGACCTCGTCACCTTGCCTGGTGCGTGTAGTTGAGGGTCAATTTAAAGGTGACAGTGTTAAAAACACACAAAAATCGACCCAGTTTGCCTAAGACAGGAAAGCTGCGGAAGTTCATACAATGTATGCGTCCAAGTTGGTCCGTCTTTTCGGGGAAATCTCATCTGCCAAATTATCGGAATCACGGCTAGCGCATTGAGGGTCCGTGGGTCCTTGAAATGTACAGGGGTACCTTCTACAGAAGCCCGGTAGGGCTTTGTCAGGCAGGTACATTTTAAGTTCCGAAGAGCAATCGTGCAGTTGGGCAGCACGTACTTCAATGGAGGAACACTTCACGGATATTTGGAAAGGACCTAAGGACCAATTTATGTCAATCAAATGCAGTGAAATGAAGCATTTGTTTCTACATTGCTGCTATGTAATTTAGATTGGATTTCAAACTATGGACGACATATTTTGAATCAGATTCCACCTGCTGCAATCATGGTTACCAAATTGACGCCAAAATTGACTGGGTTTAAGTGTAACTAAGAGCTTGGCGGATTTCAGAATGGCTATACACCATTGCAAAAGAAATTATTTGCTCTTGATTAAACTGGAAGCACCACAAATCCATACTTGTGATACTCTACCCAAAACGGTTTTTTACGTTCCGAGTCGTCACTTGAAAGAACCCACGTTCCACGCCCGTTGAATCAGTCAAACCAACTTAAAAAAAACTAGCCGTGCTAATTTCAATGTCTTTTGGGATCAGATCAAATGTTTGCAGCCGCATCTGGCCGCTAGCCTTGCACAATCACGTTGCCATTTATTTCGAAGTTAGCATGACTCTTCCGCTGATAGCATTTCTTTACAATTTACATTGACATCTGTCGGCAGTCGCAACAAAAAGCACAGTAAAACTGTTATTTGTGCGATCAGGAAAGGGTGCGATCAGGAGCTTAGAAAAGGGTATTAGCAGGACAGCGTTGATACTGTGAGAAGGTTGCTATGACAACTGGCTGACATGTGAACACACAGACACATGTTTGAGCTGACGACTCGGGTTACTATAGTTGCACTTGAATGCAAATCCAAGCATGGACACGAGTTCGGGGTGACACTGTTCACTCGGGTGCTAGAAATACTGAGAAACTGGGAAGCAGCCATGAATTTGAGTTGCCGGTTGATACAATTTGATGTACAAGCGAAAGTATGGGAAATGTCTACAAATTCGTGCGTCAGGTAAAAAGCCCAAATTCACTGACGATAGCAGAACTTGAACCAGAATTCATTTCATCACGCACACTATGGACTTTGATTTATGAGAAATCTCATTGTATATGTCATAATGCACGAAAAGGAACAGATCAACCTACGTGGATACAGACACCATGATAGTTAATTATTTTTTGTTGAAAATGATCCAAGTAAAGTGATCTTACATTATTTCCTTTCGGTAAAAGTCCTCAATTGTTGGGTCATACTTCTCCTCATATTTGCCGGTGACGAAACGAACAGTGAGAGCGCTTTTGCCAACACCACCATCGCCAAGAACAACCACCTTAAACTCCCTCATTTTCACTCTGAAACAAAGTAAATTGCACGAAAAAAAATTGGGCAAGAGGAAGAAAATTTGGCCATTTTTCTATTGGTTTTAAGGCATCTGACATCACCAGGACACCATAGCTTAAGATGCCACAGGGCTTGTGACATTCACAGATTGCTATAAAATAAAGATATTCTGGGACCAAAAATTGATCGTCGTAACTATGGGCTGTAGCCTGACAAAATTATTAGACAACGAATCTTTACGTCAAAACCATTCAAGTCAGCACAACTATACATAAGAGTAACTTTAGACGAGGCAATATAAAATGTCGAACGGTTAGCTAGTTAGTAATTCTGAGGAAGATATAGAAGAGTGACACGCTTACAATATTCGGTCGAATTTGCCAAGGAATAACTCAAATATTAATAAATTGAAGAAACCGAGCCACAATGCAAAATGGATCCACAAATTTTCAGGTAATATGAATAAATTACTAAATAAAACATTTGGACCTGATGATAAAGAAGAGCTCTTTTACATTAAATACCGCTACCCAAAAAAAATTGGCAAGAATCACATGTAACACTCATAACGCATAAAAAATCAAAGTAATATAGTATTCTCCAAGGTCTGATTTTCATTAATTCTCGACAACATTCAAGTAAGGGTAAACCAAACTGACAAGTTTAAAATAAAAAAATAATGTTATAAAAACAATTGAACATTAACAACTAAACAAAAATTTTTTTACACCAAAAATTTTAAGGGTCGAGAATTCCTAACAAATGTAGTTTACACAGATTATCGCGGTATTTAATTTTTAGGTGCTCAAGACAAAATTGGGGTAAAAATTAAAAAGCAAGGTTATCGATTCTAAAAAAATTGCTTAGAAACTCACAAAGAAATATCAACAAAGAAGAATGGCAAGCGTACGTCTAGGTCGCAAACCAAATGCAGCGTTGAGTTTTCGTGTTTAATTATGTACACTAATCGTCTACAGACAGCCTTCAAATATAGAACCATAAAACAAAACTCTGTTTTATATAAATAGATATTGCATTCTGAAATTATTGCTATCGGAATGCACATTTATTGTTTAGCAAAAAAAAAATTGAAAACAATTACTATCACTTTTAATGATATGTGCTGATATCCTAGTTTTAATTCCTAGATTATTTGCCAGATATATTCACAGCTCTATGAGTTACTAAAATTTAAGCAAAGTTCTAAAAATAGTATTCAAATTATAGCATATGGGGTAATTGTGCATGAGTGGACGGTGGCAGGAAAAACGCAATCAATCTGTCAGCTGTTTAAAATGTCAAATTTTACTTCGCTGTAAATTAGAGACTCGTAATAAAATACTGTTGCACCTAAAAAAATTAAAACTGCCAATCAGTTAAAGAAATGAAAGATTTACCTCAAAATATTGTGCAAAGAAATCATTTAGACGCAGTTTTCATGCATTCCATTAACGGATCAAGGCACAAAATGTGAAAATTAGCTATCTGAACAATATTATTGTGCATAGTGACGACTAAGCGAAAACCTCAAAGGATCCTTTACCGTCACACAGTTTATTAAAAAAATCCAAACCTTAATGATGACAATAAATCGCACGAGCTAGAAAAAAGAATAAACAAATTTGACCTATTTAAATATACTGAAAGCAAAAACAAGGACACCTATGCGTGCAAAAAGAACTTGTTTCAGTGCATAAAGAATAGGCCTTTAACGTGAAAATAAAGTCACCCAAAGGCCTGACTTAAGTTCGAATCTGCGGACAGAATGTATCGAAAACTAAAAAAACAAAATAACATATTTACAAAACATATTGATGCTTGGCTTATATTTTTATAAATACAGTGTAATTTCGACATATGTTTACAGTTTCTCCTTCAAAAAACTTTATATGACCTGAAGTCATTCTTGTTGCAATATTTGGGTTAATGCACAAAAATTATTACAAATCTTATTTTTGAGATATCGCGTGTTTTGGCGGAAATTTTATAAGACAGAGTAAGTTGTAATGTTAAGGTAGACCTAGACCTGATTATCTGAATCAATAACAACAGCAAATGAATATATGATTTATGATATTAGATCTCACTTCAGAAATAGCATTTTACATTCATTAACACATAAATAGTTCAAATGTAACTAAAGGCTACAGCGGACTCAATATGTGTTAGGGGCATTTAGGCAAATAATGTTCAAAATCGAAATTGTTTCAAGATGTATTATTTGAAAAACTACAGTTAAATTGCATACAGAGATCAAATTACCATGAACACCACTAACTTACACTGAATACATGACAACCTACTCTTAGCCTAGAGTAGCAAAACTTGAACACGTGGCCCGCCTTCCGCAGATCAATGGCAGTTATTACAAGTCCTATTACAACCTTAACTTAAAGTCCTATTACAGTTTTTAAGTCCTATTACAACCTTAACTTAAAAAAAAATTTACAAACGCCCAGAAATTTCTTGGTTAAAAATCATGACTGTCTTTAAAAAATTATTTGATTTTTCCTTGGTGCCAAGGTTAAAAATTTCGGGAGAACAACGAATATCATTCGCAAATTCTCTTTTGCATTTCAAATTTTAATAACCTTGATGATTGTTTTTGACACATCAAGAAAAAGTCAAAAAACATAACAAATGCGCAGACTAAATAAATACTTTTATCAGTAAGTACTTTTCCTAAATTTCAATCAGAACTTCGAGAATTGTTTTAAATAGCTTAATTGCATTGTAGGCGCCCGTTACTTGTGTCCCGTAGTGCGTGTTTGCATTCCCACATGGCACCCAGCAGCAATACGAAGTCTCCGACAAAAGGTTCGGGCTCGAAAAAGGTTGCAAAGCCGGCTCCTGGTTCTAAGAAGCAATCAAAAGGGCCTGGTAATAGCGGCGCAAAAAAGCTCCATGGCGTTAAGGGAGGTAAAGTTGCGAAGACGGTGTCGAGTAAGCTCTTACTATATACTCATGAATTCACCTAGAGAAGGCGGTTGTTAAAAAGGCTTTGAGGGCCCAGAAGGCTCTCACCCTTGGGTCTCATACGAAGGGGAAAAAAAAGGTCATGAAGAACATAAGATTTCGACGTCCAAGGACGTATAAACCTCCTCGTTGTCCCAAGGACCGTCGTTTTGAGATCCCTAAGAGAAACAAGTACGATAGTTTATTTTCTGATGTATGTCTTCAGGTTGGACGCTTTTCGCATTATCCGTCATCCGGTCACGACCGAGGCCGCGATGAAGAAGATCGAGGATAATGATACCTTGGTCTTCGTTGTAGACCGAAGAGCAAACAAGCCGGCCATCAAGGCCGCCGTACAAGAAATGTATAAGATAAAAGTTGCAAAAGTGAACACTTTAAACTGTCCAAAGAATATCAAGAAAGCCTACGTAAAACTGCCACCCGATTTCGACGCTTTGGATGTGGCTAACAAAATTGGCATTATATAAATACAGAGAAGTTTGTGTAGAGGGCTTTGTATTTTGATTCTCGGTGCATTGGGTACACTGATGGTTTTTTCCGGATTGCAGCTTCATTGCACTAGTAACTAAACCTTGGCCTGGTGTGTCATTTTAATTCAGGTTATTAGCACGTGACTTTAAACTTCTATTCATTGTTTAGCGTATCCTCGAATCATTTAGTTTCTGTCTTTTCTTTTCGCACTTACTCCTGCGAATAAGTTGCTCTCGTGAATTTGTGTGCTTATGGTTGTTACTTATGGTTTTATTTGTCAATAAATCGATGGAAAGCTTGTAGCACCTGAATGTGTTATGCCATGTGCTTCAAATTTGATCGCAATGAGGATTATCATCGGCGTTGGAGGATTTAGTTTACTGAATGGCAGTCTCTCTTGCTGCCCTTTGGATTGAAATAGACCGAATAACAGGTGCATGCATCGTGTCTGAACATTGTGAACTAGCGAGTTTTGCGTGTACTGTCGGGACTGGTTTCGCGGAACGTCGCTCGTCTTGTATTGGCACCGGTTAAGCATTAAGCTAACACTTTGGCCACATTGATAGCCCATGGTGCGGGTCTATTGCAAGAACGTAGTTATTGTTTTCGGTGGCGAGGAAAATGCGTGCAGATTGGTTGCGTCTCGAAATTTGCATTCGTGACCTCATTGTGTGGTGATTATTGAAGTTGCCTGATCCAATGTACCCAGGTCGCATAGAATGTCGAGTGCTTATTTCGGTGGAGCTAATCATTCATCGTGTGTGTGTGCGGCTGCTTCACGACTACGATCTGGCTACAAGCCCAATATCTTGGTGGGTGCAAAATGCATGCAGACCAATATCTGGCATCCAGTAGTGGGTACCTCAGCTATCACAACGCCAAATTTCCTCGACTGGCGGCTTGGCTTCTGGTCTGTCAACTGTTTGCTGGCACTTCAGCACAATTCAATCGCAATTAACCTGGAAGTAATGGAGGCCGTTAGATACGCGCGTTTCTTCCCTTATTCGCCTCAAATAACCCCGCTACTAGCCACTCGTTGATTTTTGTGTCATTTGAGTTGAGTTTTTAAGTTGAAAATTAATTTAACCGAAAGTTTTGCATCATGAAGCGTGTCAAGTCAAATCGCATTGGAGGCAGTGTAAATCGTGACTATTGTGCCCGCGTAAAGTGCCCTGCGTTATCACCCATGAGCCACTTCACTTTTTAGCTTCGTTGACGCAGAAGAAGAGCGGTTCGCCCGTGTTTTCTTCAGGTTTTTGGTTCGCCTTTAAACAAGAAATGCACTAAACTTCGTCCGAGTGCTTATTGTTTCTCTCTGAAAACTAGTTCAAGAAACTCTGCAATAGATTTAGACCCTGTGTGTGTGGAAGGGTTCTGGTCTTTTGGCAACGCAAGATTTCGTCAGTATGCCATCTGCACAAATCAGCTTGTCAATGGTAATTGCAATGAAATTCTAATTTAAATCTGTAAATTTTCACTTAGGATTTTCAATTACAGTCCAGAAATATCAAAAAAGCATTTTCGTCGTGGTTACCTCCGTTGTGAATGGCGTTGGTTCACACTCGCTAATCCGATCACCTCAGCCTCCGACACAGGGCCCCGCTTCTCGGCCGCGCGCATCCTCAATTTCCCCCTCGTTCGCACGCATATTTATCCTGGATTATCTTTACACCAACGTCTCGATGTTAGCTCTTCTATGACTCACACATCTATGCCATTTTTCACACACACACACGCCACACAGGACACGGGGTCACCAACGTGTTTGAGCTCCGAAGTGAATGCCTGTGCCCATGTCCTCTCCCGTCTTCTTCTTCTTTAACTTAATGGGCACAGCGTGGTTCAAGATCACATGCTGGGACTCACAACAGTTGGTGACCAGTTGTCGTGACTTGTGTTGTGTTAGCGAACTTTGTTGAATCCCCTGGTAATCGCTTGGTGGTGTGTTGCATCGAAATCGCGTCGAATTTACATAACAAGAACTCATACAAGACTTTGAAAAACTGTGAAAAGAATTACACAAACATCTGAAAATGGCAAAACTTGCTGAAGAAGTGGGAGCCATCAGGAGCCCGAGTTATTTCAACTTTGTTGTGAACGGGAATATCAGCATCTCCAATAGGTTCTGACTTAGTGGCAAAGCGGTCCTAAGGTAAACGCGAGCCTGGCTTTGTGTTGTTGCGGCCGTGAATGCCTGGGCAAATGTAACATCTGTTCTTTCTTTCCACAATCTACCACTGCCAACCAAAGCGACTGATTAGTGACCAGGGTTACTCTTGTGACGGGACCACGTTCGTTAACAACCATGTGCATAAGTCTAATCACGAACAAGTTGCATCCAACGTTGGGACAGTCTGTCATTCGACACGACGCAGAGACTCGTTGATTTCAAGTACAGGGAGGTGTAGTGACCGAATGTGTCAAAGTCAGGCATAGGGAGAAAAGCTTGTGCGACTGCCGGACTGCATTCAGTGCTGTCACTTGTCAAATGGCCGGAAGGAAATCTTCGCTAAAGATTGCTGGCAGCATTCTTAGGTATTATGTCAGCACAAATTCTCTCCGGCATAAGGGTTAGGTGAGGATTAACTTGTTTGCGAATTTTGTTGAAACTGGTACTCGCATGTTGGTGTGTTACATCGCACACGTGGAGATAATCCAGGCTTCGCGTTCGCACCAATGAGGTGTGATTTGAGTTTCCGCTTAGCTGACGGCATATTGTGAGGAGGGAGGCGTAACGTGTCGGAGAACGGAACGACAGGATTAGCGAGTGTGAACTAACACGATTCGTAAGATCGTTGAGGCCTTTCGATCTGGAAGAGAGTCTAAAAGTATGGGGTAGAATAGATAAAAAAGGACTGCAGGACAAACGACAAATGTCGATGCCATTAAAAGTGGTTGAAGTGAAGAAAGCCAAGAG